TACTGAAATGAGGAGACTGTTTAGCATCCAATAGAAAGCTGTTATGCCTTGAGGTGAAACGTGGCAACCGTTCAGCAATACATAGAAAATCTTGCAGAAATCTGAAGATGCCGTAGCTGAGTGAGATCACAGGGAGTATTGGGTGGGCAGAATGAATGCTGTTTGGACTTTTGCCAGGCATTTTGGTTAAAGTTTCTTTATCTGTCTTCCAGAAGTTTGTCAAGTAAAATAGGAAGGGATTCTGCTTTATGGAATAAAAGAAAAAAAAATTTGTATATAGCTAATGTAAACTATAAAAACATGGTATATAAAGAAAGAGACTATTTCAAAACACCAGTTCCCAGTCCCCATTATTTTTGTGAGCTGTGGCATTGTGGATTGATTAAACCAGATCAGGGAGCTATGTTTCTTCCGTCACTTTCAGTAAACTTGAGTTTTATATGGAAAATAGAAGGAAAAAAAGTGTTAAGCACCTTGGCATGGAAAAGGACCTTACCTGAAAACTTGTACAAGTGAAGATGTTATTTTAATTGTACTGACTGTTTTGGCTACTCAGTCCACTTCCAACTTCTTCCACAATGCCTGGCATTTCTAAATATTATCCTGAAAATTACTGAACATTGTACTGTTCAGATGTTCTCACTTTCTGTTACTGGTATTGCTGACCCTGGTTCTGCTTCTTATTAATAACTATATATGTGCATAATTCAGCTTTAAATAAAAGGTTTTCTTGCTGTTGATGCTTCAGTCTTTCACACATTTTCTATTTTCATATGTACCACCAATTAAAAAAAGGCTCTTATTGTGTAATGGGGGGTGACTAGCTAACATATTTTTTTCTTAACTCACCAGAGAGCCTGCTGCTGACTTTTTGTTTCATGTTTTCACATAAAGTCTATTTCATTAATCATTTGCCAGATTGTCAGAAATAAAATTCTAGGATTGTCTTGTTTCCCAATTTGAGTTTCACACGCTGGTGAGTTTCCATGTTACTTTTTCATTTTTATTAGACACAAATTTACTTTGTTTCCATGCCACTTCCATGCAGACAGCTCTGTAATTCCTGCACCTTTTCCCTGTTTAGAAACTAACTTTTAATGCTCATAATTGTATTTGCCTCTTTTCAGGTAAGACCAAAAAACTGAGGCTGGGAAGGGAACAACAGGACTTTTTATTCTTCTTTGTAGTAAAGTAGAATCAACTTTACTTCTTAAATTAAAAAAAAAAAAAAAGGTCTGCTGAACACACAGAAACTCTCATATTTCAGTTTGGCTACCCTGCTTGCACAGAAAGGAAATGCATTTTCAGCTGTATTTTTGTGGAGCAATAGCTAGTGACTAGTTAAATTAATCAGAAGTGTCTATTCTGCATAATTGTCCTGAGGATATATTCCACTGACTGCTTTTTCTATTTTAAGGTAGAATGTATAATGTGGCTAAATAATCTAAAACTTACTGTATTCTGTTCTGTCAGCTTTTACGTGTCTAAGCTATATGACTCAATGCTAAGATTGAGTTTGAAAGACCTACTGAGTCTTATTCTACGTTTTTTAAGCCACTCCTGTGTGAGGAATCTGGGGAGAGACCATTCTCCCATTTGCCTGGTAATTAGATCATCTTCTGAAGACTCTAGCATTCAGTAAGGTTGTATCCAAAACACTAGATTTAGATGAAGCAGAGCTCTGATTCCACCTGGAAATGATTGTGCTCCTGTAATTTAGTTAAAATGAGTTGTCAGAAGTGAGATAGTGTTTATGTATTTTTAAGTGTAACTCGGAAACTGGAGAAAACCCTGGTGACACTTCATAGCTAATCATTTTATGTAAGCCTTTCTTGCAAAGGCAGAGCATGCATTCCTAATGCAAAACAATGAAGAAGTCAAGTGGGACTCTTTTACAACAATACTGATACTGGTTAAAGTACTAATACTTGTTAAAGTACAGTGTCACTGTTGGATTATACTCCTTTCCCTACCTACATTCAGATAATTTACAAAGCAGCTGAATGCCTGATTAAATCTTCCAAAATGATTCTCAAAACAATCCCATAATATTTTTTTACAACAAAGTAATCATCTTGAAGAAGATGCAGGTCACAGAAAAACAATTTAATACAGATATTATCTTCATCTCACATGCTACTCTGTTTATGCAGAAGTGACTTCTCAGTCCAGTTTTCACCATTCCAAAACAAATTGCCAGGACTTCGTATAATCTAGTGTTCTCATTCAAATGAACAAATACTGAGTGTTTTTCAAAGTTAGGCAGTCATTTAGGGTGTCCACCTGAAGACTTAGGAGCCTTTTTCTCATCTTGTAAGCTTAAAAATTCTAGTGGTGGTTCCTTAGTGGTAGCTGCTTTGCTTTAACTAGTTTGTGTGGTACTAAAGAAATGCACCCAAAGCGTTTGTGGTGATTGCTCATCATTGTAGGCAAGGACCTGAACATTTTGAAGTTAATATCAAAACTCTCTTTGGCTTCAGTGGTGCAGAACTGGCCTGCAAATGAATAAAGCAGCCAGCTGGGTATATTGTAGAGAAATAATTATTGCAGACTCTGAAAGTTCCTCATTAACACTATTGCATGTGAACTTTGCAAGCAAATGCTTGAAGCTAATCTCCGACAGCTATTTGTTAGACAAGCAAATTAATAGCTGTGGCTGCTGGTTCATGCAGAGGGTTCTCTTGTTTTTTTTGTCCTTTATTTGAAGACTTCAATCAGTATAAATGATTTAAAGGCCTCACTCCACTAGATGGGGAAAAGATGCTTATAATGTAGTACTTGCTTACATTCCGCAGTTATTGATATGATGTAATATTTTTACACTTGGGTAAGTATAGATTTTGAATAAAAGAATTTAATTAACACTGAATAAATGTTCCTCATAAGGGGAAAATTCTCTATTTCTATTTCATTAATGCTTCATGCTTCTAGCAGTTAACTAATTTAATTTTACTCCTGGTGTTCAAGGTCTATGCTTTTCTTGCCTTCTGTTTTTCAGTCTTTCTGTCTTTTAAACAGGCTTTATTTTTGTTTTATAGTTGAGAAGACCAGCCAGATAGAAGATAGGAAAAAGTGCAAACCATTTTTTTCCTTTTGCTGGACTTTGTTTAATGCACAGTGGACATGTATCTATGTCTGTGCATAAAAGATATGTCATGGGAAAAAAAATTAGGTTTTTGGAAAGATCCCTGAGATTTAAAGATTACAAACCCAATGTTAAAAAGCAAGCTAAGGGACAATTAATTATTTAAAATAAGTAAAGGTAGGGAGGATCAGTCACATTATAAAAATAACACTTGCACATGCAAGCAACCATGCTCATTTAATTTGGCTTAGTAAGGAAAGGTAGGGTTTTGGGGATCAAAATCCCTATTGAGAGTTATTTTTAGTTGTATATGTAGTACAATAGAATTTTGTATAAAATGCTTAAATTCAGGATATGAAATGAGTGAAGTGATGTGGCAGATGTTCAGTGTGAATAAAAAATATCTGTTCATATTGTGTGTCAAGCAGCAAGAAGTTTAGTGTGAGCAGTCCAGGAGAATGATTGTTTTAAAAGTTTGAGGCAAATAATTTTTCATTTTTATTTTTCACACTAAGTACAGTTTTATTAAAGGTTTTCATGCAGAAATGTTAAGTGCCAGAGTTTGCCTGGTTTTGATCTTTGGTAGTTCTTAGTGTTTATCTTATAAAGCTGGTAAAATTTTGAAGAACTTCAGGTTATTTCATTCAGACCTTAAGGTCATGCTGTGATCCTCAGCTTTGGAACATTTCTAACTTGTTCTTGACTAGCATCTTTCTACATTTCTATTAATTTATGCTATTTTTCACTTCCTAACTTTGGGAAGTGCTAACTTTTTTTTATTTTTTTTATAATGCAGACAATTATGATTCAACAGTGTATGTTTTTAGTGGCCTTGCCCTGAGGAAGATGTTTTAAACTGCATTTTGGAAGTCTTAGAGCAGACCAATGTGCTGTAATAATTATACTTCAGTAATCCAAAATGACACCTCCAGGGAGATATGACTTCAGTGTATATTTTATTCATATATATTTATCTTATCCTTAATGGTAAAAATGGATTAAAAAAATAAGAAAAAGAATTGGAAGAAAGAATCTGGAAAATTGATTCTTCTTGAAGGTCATTAATGTTTTCTAAAAAGAAGTTTAAAAATGAACACGAAAATCTCATTGTTAAAGAAACTGTTCTAGCTTTGTTTTGCATAATAAGATTTTTATCACTACAAGAAAAGGTCTCATAATAATAAAACCCAATTGTTATTTTCATCTGAAACTGGAAGGTATTCAGTGGCTGGGAAACAGACAAAGAAAAAGAGGGGGGGAGCAAAAGAAGCTTGAAGAGAATAATATGGACTCCATGGAGCCATGAGCTGAGGGACAGGTTCATACCATATTGTAATATAAAGAAAAGAGGTTGCAAAGGAGGAGGGAAGAAGAGGAGTCAGCTAGAACTGCAAGATAAGATTTAATTCAGAAGAATTTTCTGTCCAGTATTTGACTAAAGTATCTTTCAAGTCAATGAAGATGATTTATAAAAAGAAAATGAGGCAGCAAAATTAAGAGGGAATGTGAAAATTTCACTGTCTAAATCCCCCAAAAAGAGCAGAGTAGACAAAGTCCAGTTTGTATGTTTTATAAAACATTTGAATCATTTGTGTTCAAGGATGCCTAATCTTCATTAATTAGCTGGTTCACTTAAAAAATGCATGCAACAGAAATACATTTACAGAGTCACAGAGTCATTGAGGTTGGACATGACCTCTTGATAGCATCTAGTCCAACCCCCTGCTACAGCACAGCCAACTAGAGCATGTTACCCAGGACTGTGCCCAGCTGGGTTTTAAATACCTGCAAGGACGAAGACTCCACACTCGTCCCTGGGCAGCCTGTGCCAGTGTTCTACCCTCTTACAGTCAAAAAGTGTTCAGAAGGAATTTCATGCTCTTTAATTTATACTTGTCTCTTGTCCTATTACCAGGCACTACTGGGAAGAGTCTGGCTCTCTCATCTTTACTCCCTCCCATCAGGTATTTTTACACATTGATATGATCCTCCTGGACCTTCTCTTGTCCAGGCTGAACAGTCCCAGATCTCAGCCTCTCCTAATATGAAAGATGCTCCAATCTCTTAGTCAATCTCATGGTCCCTTCTTAGCTTACTCTTAGCCCTTTCCTCACTTCATTAAGTCTATATCTTTCTTGTACTGGGTAGCCCAGACCTGGACCCAGCAGTCCAGATGTGACCTTACCAGTGCTGATTTGGGATGAAGGATGACCTCTTTCAACTTGGCCCGCAATACTTTTCCTGATGCAGATGTATGTCCACTATAATTGGACACTGTAAGTGTTCCGTTACCTGGTCCTCCTTCATAAAGGGTAAGTCTTCTTACAGGCTACCCTGCTGGTCTCAGAGGCCTGGGATTCTTTGTTGTTGATTATCAGTGAAGACTGAGGCAAAAAAAGTCATTGAGTACCTCTGCCTCAGGAGGCTAATGCTGTGCTACTACTGCTTGTGTGTCTCTGAGAATCTGGAGGGAGCTGCCTCCTGGCTCACTCGGTTCTTACCCTCTGAACTACTGCATGATGAAGTACTTTGCACGGTGATGGTTGTTGTTGCAGTCAGTTGTTTAACTGGGACTGAGGGACACAAAGAAGCCGTTCAGTGTCTGAGGTGTAGGGTTGGCTGCACCTGTTAGATGTTGCACTAGTTTTCTTCAGTGATGGTTAGGTCAGGAGTGCAAATATTGGTTAGACGGTGGCCTCTAAATATAATCACGTTATCCCAGCCCGATAAAACAAGCAGTCCCTAAGCATCCCATACATGTATGCAGTTAATGTCTTTGTCTGACACCAGTGCTCTAACATATCTTTCATTTTGAAATGAGTCTCATTTCAGCCAGTTATCCAGGGTACTGTCAAAGCCCATATGTGAACTGTGTTTTGCAGTGATAAATGAGTACAACTTGTATCATTATCTGTTTATTTTTTTTGCTTGGATCCCTTTTCAGAATGTGATGGGTGGCCTACTTTTATGTGGATGAAATATTATTTTCCTGTTCTATTGTGATGTAATGAGTCTTGTAAATAGTTGCATAGTTTTTTGGGGTAGGTGATATTATTAGGATAGATATTAGTTATTTTTGGGGATGCTGATACATCAACTCTGCATGATCTGTATTTGTCTCTTGAATCTTCCTCATCTCTTGCTAATTATAGTTGGTCTTGGGGGGATCAGCTTCCTAAGTTAAATAAGCCAGTGTAACACACAGTGTTTCTGGATTGTGTTCAGGTGAGAACTGGTTCATGTCACCTACTTCCATGTTCACAACCCCCAGGTTTTTTCACGGTTCTGAGGTGGGCATATGCTAATGCTGCTACCTACACACCTATTTGGGAGTAAGCTTCCAAATCCCTTTACACTGAAAGCAAGTAAGTTCCTTTTTCTTTTGTTTCCAGGCTTGTTGAACAAACTAGTTCTTTTCTTTCTGCTTTAAGATTTTTTTTGTGTCTTTTCCCTGCTGATTGATATATTTCCTCTGTTCTATCCATTGCTTATTTTAAAAAACAGATATAAGCTCTTCAGCAGATGCTGTGATTACTGTTACACCAGTTATCTGAAACTGAGAAGAGGAAGAGCTTCTGCAGATTTTTTTCTGGTTGTCTATTTTGCTTACCTAAAAAAGTCTCCCTCCCATTTTTTTTCTTTTGTCTTCTCTTCTCCCTACTTGCCGGCTTCTGAAAATTGGAAATATGAGAGGCCTTGTCTGAGCATTGGATTAAGAGCCAGGAAATCCTTAGTCTTTCCATGACTCATTGTGTGTGTCCTTGGGCAATCTGTTACTATTACAGATAAAAGCTGTGCATAGCACTTGGCTGAAAAATTAAAAGCATGGTACATGATCCAAGAAGATTATTTCAAATTTAAATTAAAGCAAGGCAAAGGTGGGCAGAAAAGAGAGGCTGCAGAAAGTGAGTATGGGGGGAAACTGTTTATGAGCTCCATAAAATGGTTATGAAGGAAGATAGTTAATGCTCACAGAAATTTCTGTCTTGTTGAACCATTTGGTTCTGTCACAGTGCAAGCATATGCTGTGGTCATAGATGCATACACATCCCTCAGATTCATATCAGAGTTGCTATGTTCTTATTAGAAATGAAATGGATAAATAAGAGTAATGGAAGAGGAGAGGGTTTTTTTCCCTCACTTTTCAATAGATGCACTTGCACTCTGCTTTTGTAAATCCAGTTCTCTGAAGATTTTCTTGGGAGATGGGTTTGGTGGTTGTGTATAAATGTGTGCAAATGCCTGAGGCTTTACTATTTGCTTAATTTTTGTTACATTTCACATCTTTAAGGATGTGAACTCTTCTTCACAATTTAGAACAAGTAACAGAGATCTTTAGAGAGAGCAAAGGTCTAGGGCTTCTAGGCAGGGTCACCTGGAGGTCAGAGAAGACATGGAATAATTTACCTATATTTTCCATGATAAATCAGACATAAAAATAAATTCAAGAAGTTACAGAATATGATATGATATGATATAGAAAGCTGCCTTCTATATTCCTTATGTGGCTTCTCTGTATAAAGGTGAATATGGTAAAAAGCTGCCTATAGAACACGCTGCTTTCAGAATGTATTTGCAGATACTTTAGTACCATGTCCATTCAGTGTTCATTCACATGACATTGCCTGTACCTTTATTTTGACTGTTTTAATGATCTGTATATCACCTCCCATTGCTGTGATATTGAGGGTGGTAGTTTTCTATTCAGCATCTAATTTCTATCTAATCTAAGGTAGCCTTTCCATCTCCCCCAGCCTCTTGTTCACGTAACCTTTTCTCTTCCTTCTGCCTTTTTGGCATTATCCTGTGATTGTGCAGGTGTGCCAACACTGCAGGGAGGAAGTTTGCAAGACTGTTTGGTTTTTGCTTAACCTTCTACCAGAGAAATGCATACTTCTCTGGTGAAATACATTAGTGAAGGCTGCTGGAGTCCTTGTATAGTCTTTGATATTTCATTTGGTGAGGAAAAAAGACTGTGCTTGAAATGAGTGTTTGGCTTTGAATTATTAAATGCCTATGTTTGGGGTTTGTTCCTGTATTTGAATAGTCATGGCTAATTGAGAAGAACAGTATCAGGGTTCTGAGATTCAGAATCTTATGGTGATGCTACAGTATACAAAAGGTCATTGTTACAAAAGGTCAGTCCTGCCCCTGCAGTGGAAGTTGCTGTCCTGATGCCAGTGAATGGGGCCAGTCTGACCTCTGCTTGAGAGTGTTAACTTGAATTTCCCACTGTTGCTGCTCTTCTGACAGGCTGGGATAGGAATCTGATGAAGAGGCTGGTTCAGAAAGGTTTTTTTCTATGGATTCTATACTATGAGATGTTTGTCCTAGCTTTTGTGCTCAGTTTTTACTTCACAGTCTTGCAGTAATTGATCTGCTTTATAGCTGGGACCACATGGAATTCTTGTATTTCATTAAATTTATTCCTGTTATTTCAAATAACATTATAGATCATCAGTGGGTCTAGCTCTGTCTTGAGATCCCCTTGGTTCCTTGTGCAGCCCTTCCTTTTGGAAGGCAGATTAACTTTCAATTGCCATTAATTGATGCATTCATCAAAATTTTCCAAATCTGTCCTGATAGAGAGTAAGTATTTAAAATTGTCTAGTGCCTGTCAGAGGCAGGAATCCATAAGCTATTTATGAGTCTAGATTTGACTCCCATAAGCACTTCACCACATGAGTAATTGCCTCCCTTGGGCAGTAGAGGTGTTCCAATATGTGTACAGAATCAAAGATCCAGGGCAAAGTTCAACTTCTGAATAACCATGCTATTTCTGAGGAAATCATTAGAATCTAAAGGACAAGGGAATTTGTCTCAGGTCACAATTGCAGTTTTTTTCCAGTATTGTTTTCAAAGAGAATTCTCTGTCATCACTTGTTTTAAAATCTTTCTTACTCTCTTGCTAATTTAATAGACTTCTCTCTCATGGGTGATTACTGACAAGAAATACTTAGAAAGGATGCAATTTAAATGTACTGAAGTCAAAGTTAATTGCATTAAACCTTCTTAAAATGCAAGAATCATATAATACCAGGAAAATAAACATCTAGCATGCTGAAATTACATTATTACATTCCTTCTCCCAGTTGTTCTACAGGCATGCTTTTTCATAATGAAAGACATAAGGGACTTCAATATAGTATAGACAACCATTTTAATTTCTTATGATGTTTTCAGTCAAATTTTGAGGTTCAGTCATGCTGACAGTTCCCAGAGCTGAGGGTTCATGCTGCCCATGGATGATCTTCCCGGTATCTCTGTAGTTAAATTTTATTTATTTTGTACATCAGGTCCTGCTCTTACAAGAATGAGGCAATAAACAAAGTAATAATAAACCTACATCTTTCAGCACCTACTACCCCACAGATCTTTGATTTAAAAAATCTTCACTTTATTTACTTTTACTTTTGTATGAAATTAATAGTAGATCTTGATGAAAATAGGTTAACTTGCTGGACTGATGTTTGAGCATACTCTACTTTCAAAAGAAAACCTACTTGAAAGCTTTTATCTTCAATTATCTTATTGCTAAATGAAAAATATTCTAAACCACTAAATACAGTATTTTCTTATGAAGCTTCAAGGTCAGTAACTGTTCTTTTTACCAAGAAAACATCTGTTTCATAAGTTTGAGTCTTAAAATGAATGGTTTCAGCTTTTGTTCTGATTGCAGCTGGCAAAAGAATGTGCTCAATCCCTAGAAATAAAAATCAGTTTGACCTAGTAATGGCTATAGTGATCTTAGAGACCAGAAATCCACACTGTAAAAATACCTGATATAATTTAGGAGCTCAAATCACACTGAGAGTGGCCTTAAAATCCTACATCTTTTATAGGCTTTGAAAATGTTTTATTACCCAACCAGTATTAAGCAGTGTTTACTGAATGCTTGGCCGTTTAATAGGCATCATGAGATTGTACAGGAACGGGATGACCTGGGAGCAAAGGACAGCCCTGC